CATGTTTCCAAATGGAAACTTTATTTACACATTGTAAAGCTTGTGGGAAGACCTTTCAATCACAAAAATAATGAGATCTTAAAGCCTCGTGTGAATGATGCCCCATGAGTTTGAAGATGGTTGCTTGGACCTGAAGTTCCTTGCCACGATCAAATTTTCAAATCACTTAATTCTCAATTACAAGCCACATTAAGATTCTTTTGCGTGTCTAAACATGTTTAGAAACCTTCCAGAATATATTTATCGCTCAAAACGCAAGAGAGGAATGAGTTTTGACAGCTTTGCAAGTCACACTTTTTCCATGATCAAGTGTGCACAAATTCTTTCAAATTTGTATCATCCACCCTCACTTAGCATTCTAGTCACTTCACCTATAAATAAAGACCTATTTCACATCATTTTGCAAGCTTTTGACAGCCAAAATACCCTGTTAAGATCTCATTCGAACTCTTAAGCTTGCAATTTGTTTTCTTGTCTCCACACCTTAAACACTAAAACTCTCCATTCAGCTAGCTTCACCAACATTCAGTGAAGCTAACCAGCTCAAGAGTAAGCAAAATCGTACCATAGTTGAAGCGCACCAAGTAAAGCTTCAAAAGTTTCAACTCAAATTACTGTGATGATCCTTGATGTTCACTGATTCTCGTTGCATCATTTAATTTTCATTGTTTGATCCATTAACTATGTCTATTTTTGAATTTTTCATTTGAAATTCTTTCTGGTTTTTTCAAACCGACTACACTATGGTTTAAATAAATTTTTCGCGGGGATATGGTTGAGATCGTCTCATTGAGACGCTTCCAATGATACCAGTCCCATGAGCATTGGTTACCTCTTGAAGAAATACACATTTACCCTAAATCTCTGCAAATTTTTGAAGCTGGAGGTTGAAGATAACCAATGTGTCATCCTCAACCAATGAGAGCGTGGCAATTGAAATGTCCTGAGTGGCTTGACCTTTTTTGGATCCATGCACGTGTGTTGACTCAGCTCCATCGTGTTTCCTCACCTCTCATCCTTTGGATCAGCCAACGTGTTTTAACGAAGTAGATATGACGCTTCCATATTTTTATGATTTTATTTTATTTTACAAAAAATGTTTTAAAATTCACTTTATCTTCAAAAATTCATAACTCTTTTATTTTTTATTCAAAAAATATGAAAAACTACACAAAATTATTTTGAATCATTTCTGATTTTATAGATATTTTTCCAGATTTTTATTTTTATGTTTGCTATTTTTTATAATTTTTGGATTATTAGCTTTGTTTTAATTAGGTTAAAAATGTTTTTTCACAATTTTAAAATTCTGAAAAAAATATCATATGATCCTATGATGGTTTCTGACCTATGATGATTTTATTTGATTTTTATCTTTAGTACTGCTATTTTTTATCCTTTTTTGATCTTTTTGTTTTATTTTAAAATAGTTTCTGATTGCCAAAAATGATGAAAATACTTTCATAAAAATATTATGGACCGTTTCTGATTTTTCTATGGTCTTAGTTGATTACTATTTGATGTTTGAATGTAGTTTGATATTTTTCTTTTTATTTTCATTTTTAATCCATTTTTAAAAATCATTTTCTCACTTTATTTTGTTTATGATGGCAATTTAAATTTTGTATATTTTGGTTGGCTTGGATCTTGATTATTTAGGTCATGAATTTCATCAACATCAATGGAACTTGGATGTTGATAAGTTGAAAAACCAAATCCACCAAAATAGATGATTGATTTTGATGAATTTAGACCTAATTCTTGATTCAATTTGGATGTTCTTATGGTGTTTTGTTTTTTCCCTTCTACCTTCATCTCTTTCTTCTTCTTTTTATTTTTTGGATCAATTGGATGATTGGTGATCTTGTTCATTCGAATATATATTGGTACTTGATGAACTTTCATCATTTCAAATCAACCTCTAAGTGGTCAATTGATCACTCAAGGTAGCTTGGATTGATGATAAGTTTTTCCTAAGGTAACATGAAGGATTTTATTGATGTATTGATCTCATCTCCTTGACTTAGGTTTGGATCACCTTTGCTTTTAAACCATGGTGTACATTATATGTAATACACCTACATTATTTTATCCCGACCTCAGATGATGCAACTTCAACATAAGTTCACTTAAGATTGCTTAACATAGCGTCAAACTATCCTGAATCAGAAATCTAATAATTAACACTAACCTTTACTATTGTGCTAACTTTACTTTACACACCTTTAGTTTATGCAAGCATTACATTTCATATTATCTTGTTTATGTCTATGTCATTTTTTCTTTGTCCACTTGAACTTTTATTTTATGTCATTTTTACTTTGTCCACTTGGATATATGTTTATGTTTATGCCATTTTCTCTTTGTTCACTTGGACTTTTATTTTATGTCATTTTCCCTTTGTCCACTTGGACATATGTTTATGGTTATGCACTCTTTCTTATATCCACTTGGACTTTTATTTTGATCTTAAGACATTAATAAAGGTTTAGACCATTCAAATACTTAAGGCTCTCTTTGGACGATGGTTACTATCCCTTTACATATTGGAGTATTTGGACCTTTAGACTTAGGATAGGAATTTTAGACCTTTGGACCTTGAGGCCTTGTTATTATTTTGTTTATGTATTGAGAAATTTTGTGTGTGCATGTGTTACTTTAAAATTCCATCTGATGCAAGGATAATTCATCTGATACATCAAGTTCATCTGATACATGCCAAGTCATATGTACCCTTTTCTTAAATTCATCTGATGCAAGCTTGCACCTGGGGCATTTTTTATTCATCTGAGGCTTATTACTTCATTGTGTGGCTTTAATCCAAAGGATGAGAATGCTATATTGACTTCATTATGTCAAGTTTTTACTTCTTGTTTAGTTAGATCTTCCTTTACCTTAACTTTTACTTTGTGCTTTAGAATAGTCCCTTCATCTCTTGCCCATCTTCTTAAATTTTCAAATGTTCCCCCTTATTTTCAAACTTAAACCACTTTCAATAAAAATCTTGACTTTGTCAAGTGCATTTTTAAAACCTTTTTCTTAATCAAACTTTAATCCAAGTAATAAAAGTTTAACCTTTTTCTTCTAAGACTAGAAGATACAAAACCTCACTTCAAACTTTTTGCCACTTTTGGCTTTTTTGTTTTAAATTTTTTCTTAAAGATTAGATGTGAGCCATCTCTATGGTTGAGATATAATTCTACCATGTACATTAACTTGATTAATATGATGTTGAATCTTTTTCACTTAAAGGGATTAGTGGAATACCTGTTGAGTTATCCAGGTTGGAGTCCTCATTATACTTGTGATGCAAAGGTCCATCGTTCACATGTTTTTGGATATTTGATTAAGTATTCTTCCTAAGATGACAAAATGTCTCTTCTCTTAAAATTAACCAACAAATAATTTTTGTTCTTTTTTAGAAGAACTATGTGATTCTGATTTCATCATTTCACTTTGGTGGTATGTGGGCACAAGGCTCATTAAAGTCTTGCCGGATCAAAATCTTAAAAAAAAACCATTTCTTTTCTTATCTCCATAAAATTTTTGTAAACAACTCTTTTTAGCCAAAATACACAAATTTTCAAAGAGGTTCCTGTGTAGTACCTTAGATGTTTAGGGTGTTAGTACCTTTCCTTTGCATAACCAACCCATGTACCTTAGATATCTTTATTGCTTTAATTTTAGTCTTGCTTATTGCTTTGCATGTTTATTTTTGGGTTTTATTCTCTCTTTTTTCATTTCTTTAGAAACAATTAAGTGCGGTGACGACTTTCACTTTGTGAGTTAAGTTAATCCATAGCTTAATCTCAACTTTTCACCACTACCCATAAATATAGAGATTCTCACCTCATGTGAGCTTTCTCTCTCCATAACCAAAAATAACACCAAAATAGGTCTCTCGCCACCGCAAGCAAGCTCTAGCCACCAGAAAAATCCTAAGACATCTTGTCACCATTACTAGCTGAGGGGTACCACGCACTCCTATACTTTTTAACGAGTATACAATTCCTACCACAACTTCTCCTACACGTACTCATTACGATATTTTTTAATGACAAGTATTTTTTACTCTTATTTGTTGTTTTTAAAAAAAAACAACTAAAAATAAATAAAAATTAATATCATTTATTAAACTTTTAATTTTTGGAAGGTAACATATTCTCCAACATTTAATTTTTTTTGTTGGAAATTTTACTATGTTATTATAAATAATAAAATAAAATTCAGAAATGTAAACTATAAAATAATATAAAAATCTATTAAATGCGATTTGTAACGATAAAGGATTAAGGGTGACACCACAAAACATTGTGAGACAGACAATATTATATATGTTTAAGGATTTCTTATTGGTCTGTCAATTAACATGTATAAGAAGTAACATTTATTTTTATTTCATATGACTTAGAGTTTCTTTTAATGAAAATGTTTAACAAATGATAACAACAAAAACAATTAAAAACTAAAATTAATATTTTCATGGTATAAAAATAGTTATAATCTAAAATAATTTTATGTAGTCATAAATAGCTTTCTAAATTTAAAAAAAAAATATCAATTTCCAATTCAAATTTTCTAAAAATTCGAAAGGACTTTTTTCTATTGTTGAAACTAATCAATACTTGAAAACACCTCATAAATCTTAAAAAAGATTCAACAAATGTGTTGTATCAACAAAAAAAGGTAGGAAACATGTCATATCAACACATTAGAGATTGTTCCAACCTTATAGATTTCAACTATAAAAGTAGACAACGTGAAAGATCTAAATATCTTCGCAAAGATATATTCAATCAATTTTTTATTTCAAAAGCTTCTCAGCGAGGATCAAGTTCTCACTATGACATCTTATGTGGTACACAATTTATTCCAATTAATTTTCCATCACATTTCAAACAATTAATTTTATGTTTATCTAAAATTTACACAAAATAGTAACATTACAAACATTATTAATAACTAATTATGTATCCATAATAATTCATGTGTAGGTAAACATGAGAATGATATCTATAACATTTATTTATTTTTCATCAATAATGGTGATGTTACCAAGCACAACTTACTCACAAACTCTAATGTCTCCAAAAGTTAACCAATCAGCTACATACATGTCACAATGGTTTGAAGTGGGGCCTGGAGAAGTTGCATCCAAATTAATGTTTGATATTGATTTTGCAAGGGGTCATATTGGAGTTAAAAGCTTTGATGTTGATTTAGTTGATGAACAAGGAAAGTCTGTACCATTGCATGAAGCTTACCTCCATCACTATTTTGCTATAAAAGATATTGTAAAAAAGAATATGCCATTGTCACACAATCATAATGATCATATCAAACCTTTTGGGGATCCTATTCTCAAAAGAAATGATGGGATATGCAACGGTGGTATTCTTCCATAATATTGGGGGTTTGGAAGTGAAACACGAGGAACAAGTACAAAAATTCCTGATCCATTTGCAGTTGAACATGGTAACCCTGCAAATACTCCAGAAGGATGGGAAGAGAAATGGATATTTACCCTCATGGTCATTGATACACGTGGCACAGAAAATAAGAGAAGTTGCACTGAATGTAGGTGTGACCAATTTAATCTCCCGAAGAATTTTTATAATGTGACAAAAGACATCCATGGAAAACCATTGACACCTGAATATAAAGGAGAAATTTTTTTTGCCAAGATAACTTTAAGTGCAAATTGAAAAATGGGTTTGAAGCACGAAGGAGAAAGCTTGCCCTAAGATACAAAGTGACATGGGTAGATTGGGACCAACACCAAATTCCAGTTAGATTTTATATACTCGATTCCGCTGATCGTGTGTTAATAAATGGTTCTCAAATAATCCATGATTGTCTGGTAACAAAATAATTTCTTGAAAAGTATTTTGTTTTTCTATTTCATAATCTTATAAATATTTCCCTACATATTTAGCTCTTATGGTTATGTTGTGATACCGGGGAGTATGAGAATTAGGGTTGAAACCCTAATTACAAACATAACATACTAACAACTAACATTTGTCTAAAAATTATTTAAATTAAAATATTCATGATAATGTCTATTACTTTTCTTATAAGCATAGTAGTATATTAATTACTTTACATATTGAAAGAAAGTGATAAAAAAGACTTCTTCATTTGATACAGACTGAGTATACTATTCCAAAGAGTAATAGTATTCTTTCCATGTTCAAAAAACAAGTATTCCTATAAAAAAAAGTGGTTATCTTATTTATGACACTGCTCATATGCACACGGGTGTTGTTAATGCAACACTATACAGACAGGTACAATTTTTTTATTAAATTGACTATTATTATTTTAACAAAATCATGTTTATTTAATTCGTTCTTCAAGTGAAAATACATATAGAATTAAGAAAATTTATTGTCATATTTGTGTAAAAAAAAGTGACAATAAATTTTCTTAATTCTATATGTATTTTCAAAATAATCTTCAGATGGTGAATGGATATCTCTAATTGTTATTTATTTGATTTGCATTAACTAATTAGGATGGAAGGATATTGTGTACATCAACACCGAGATATGGAATAGGAAATGAGAGAGGTTATGCTGTTGGAATGTCTGTATGTTATCCTAAATCAGGTTCGATCAAAATTAAAGATGGTGAAAATGTAACAGTAGAATTAAGATATAAAAATGAGTTTATCATCGCAGCTATGGGTCATATGTATGTATGTGTAATTAGCTGATCAATTACCACTCGACATAAACATATATAATCCTATGAATTTTTAAATTTTTTGATATAAAATGTATTTATTGTATATATGTTATTAAATAAACAAGTGATTGAGCTCATGTGATTAATAAGTTTATGTTTTAATATAGATTGGTATAATTTTTTATTATGATTTAATTTTCTCATTAGAGATTTAAGATATGAAGATTAAGACAAAAAGAACTATTATTATTATTTTTTGATTCCATTTGATTGCCATAGGATATTTGTAACTAATAGCTTTCTTCCATATTAAACAATTTCGTCATTAATCATTAAACATTCTTGCTACATTGGCTTTCATTAAAATAGAAATTAAAGATTATTTAGAGCTCAAAAGGATATTAAAGAGAAAATATTTATATAATGTGTATTTTAAAAATAATTAAATTATATTTTTTTATGTGTGTGAGTCCAAATAATTGTGACCATTCGAGTATTTTACCCTCATTGATACACTAACAACTATGTAGTCTACCTATTAATAAATAGAAAAATAAATTTTTTAAGTTGTTAATTTATAATATCAAAAACTTATTTATATTAATTCATAAATATAAATATTATTAATAAATAAAGAAATACTTATTTGGACACAACACCAAATCATCATGTTTCTAGCTCTTGCAAAAGTATCTAGTGGTAGGCTCGATGGATAATTGAGAAGGGGGTGTATAGGAGTGGAGTCTTAGATGGAGTCAACCTCTCCTACTCTGGGAGGGGGATCTCCTCGAGTCCCTTCATTGTCTTATCTAGGGGGTTGTGAGTTTTGGTCGAGAAGAAAAAGGAAAGAACATGTGTTAACAATGTATCTGACTATTTTTGCAAACAAAAATAAATATGTAGATTAGGCTGCAAACAGAAAACCATAAACCAAAAAATCATAAACTAGAAACTTATAAAACTATTATGTTGAATCAAACTTTATTATTGAAAGGAAAAAATGCAATAGACAGGAAAGAATGCAATAACTCAGCACCATACAAATGCTTGTGTGGACCTGAATATGATATAAGGAGTATGATTAACAACATCTTTACATTAGATCAAATGCTTGTTGAAATCCCTGGTTTCATTTTCTGGATCGAAGGTGTTCACCATTTCCAAAATTTATTGCATTCCAACATACCACACAAACCTGTGAGCATCATCAACACCAACCAGTTAGAAAGTAAATGAGACCATACAAGTCGACCACTGGTATCCCATATTCGCTTAGTTATACAATACATAATAGTTAGCAATAACATAACATAAAAAATCAGTTAACCATTAAAAGTACAATTATTTTTTGCAACAATAAGCTAGAACAATCACAAAAACACCTTTATGTTTCCAATGTATATGATCAAAGTCAACTTGCAAAGAAATTTAGTACAATGATCCTTGAAATTCTGGTATCGGATATGTGATGTCGAATGAGATGTCACAGCACAAATATCTAAGGAACAAAGTAAATTACAACAATAATAAATACAGTAAAATACAGAAGGGATTGTTAACCCAGTTCAGTGTACAACAATACCTACTATGGGGGTTACCAAGTCAGAGACAAGTTCACTAAATAGTATCAATTCATAGACCCTCAGTAAACAACCAGTTTATGATCTAATCACTTAATCACTGTCCGTGATATACGTCTACCTAAACCTCACCTAGGTATGAGGAACTCCTCAAATCCCTTCAATCACTTACAGTGAAGAAACAAAAGAAATAATAAGTTTAAAAACTTCAATCATTGAATGCTTAAAAGTTTATGAATGATACACAATTAACAATCCAAATAACAACACAAGTATTAAATCAACACTAGAGTATTTGACAATTAAAAGACTTATACTTCTAAAATAGAAAGAAAGTATTCTTCTTCAAAGGTTGCAGTGGTCTAAATAAGGAAGCAAGTCCTTATATATGCGCAGCAGTGGGCTTGGGCTGAAAAAATATATTCAAATCTTTTGAATATTTCAATGAAAATAGGCCAAGATATAATCCATAAAGATAATTCAAATATAAAAATATTCCTCCATATTTTTCGCAGCCTATGAGTCACAAATCCTGAATTATGGTGCGCAAGAAATCAAGAAACAAAAAACTTAAACTGATATTGGGCTGAGTTCAGTTCAAGAGGCAGATGTCAAGGCATCTGCTTTGACATAATTGAAAATAGTTTTGCTTCAAATGTTAAGACATTTAGAAAAACATTATCAAGTCATTATTTTACCAAAGTTGCTGCCAACAAACACTTACAAATTCTCCCCTTTAGTAAATTTTTGCTAAAACATTATCAGAGCACATTATCAGAGCAGCAACATAAGCAAAGCAAGCAAAACAAAAAAAAACTCTGCTAGCAGTTAGCTGTTAGCAAAGGAATATGTCAAAATATCTTCTAAGACATGAGGCTCCCCCTCAATCAGTGGTCAGTGGTCAGTCAGTCACTTACTCTCACCCTTTTTAGTCATAATATACCAAATAAAAGGATGCATTCAAGAGTGTATCAGTAATTTAGGTATAAACCATAGAAATGTCAAGCACATGTAAGTGACAAAAAGAAACAAAGGGGTCCAATGATTAAACAGAAAATGGTCTAACTGTCTTCAGGACCAATAGACTTGGTAGAGCCATAACTTCCTTCCTCCCTAGAATCTTCTTCTTCAGAGCTCACTCTATCATCAAGGTTGTTGTCCTTTTGCAGCTCTTTGATCATCTTTTCAAAAGTTACCTTCCATGTTGAACTAACTCTGATCACATCATCTAGTTCTTTGCATGCTTCCCTTAATTCATTGATCATGTCATCCTTGGTGGAGGTCTTGTTTTCAGCAGGTGCAGATGTCAAAACAATGTCTGGGACATGTTTTCCTAAAAAAAAGCATAAAATGAAGGGTCAAAGCAGACTCCCTCTTGCACATTACATCATTATTGTTGTACCCCAATTTTCCCCCCTAAGATCCCTTCATTATACCATGTTGATTTACTCACAACAAGATCACACTAGGATTCTTGGTTCCCCTCCCTACATTTAGTTTTGTCCTTTTTGAGGGATTACCAAGCACCTTGACTTATGTTCCTTTTGTGATCATGAATATTGTTTTGATTTCTTCATTTAACTAATAAAATTCAATGTTGTTTTGTCTTGCTTGTTATCCATGTAGGTGAAGGCAATGAGATTTAACAAGCTACCCCATGGGTTCATGAGTTTATTTCCATGCCCTAGTCAATATAGCTTGAGAAGTTCAAACCTCACCATTGGATTTGTTTTGGGAGGATTGGCATGGCAAGGTTGCTTTGGTTCATCACATTTCAAGGTTATTAGATTTGACTCAAAAGTACAAGGGGTTGATTGTAGAAGTTGTCATGTTTGGACAAGGCCTTGTTCTTATTGGTCACAAGAGCATATTTCTCTCAAAATTCAAGATATGGAAGTGGTTTTGGTGGCTAAGAATTCTCATTATCATCCATAACAACTTCTATTCACAAAGCAAGAATATTGGTACAAGAAGTTTGTTCAAACTTGTCAAAGTTCCTCAAGGCATTCACTTGATCTAGAAGCTAGGGTTTTAAACTTCAAAGGAGTATATATTGCTCACCTTTTGGTATTTTGAGTGATTCCAAAGATATCCTTCTCTTCAAAGTTTTATCAACAAATCACTTCAAAAGTTCCAAGGAGTTTTCATGTGGAATAAACTTGGTGAAGAAGAAAGATTACAAGTCATCCAGATGAATCCATAATTTTACATAAGTAACTTCAATTGATCATAAATTGGTCAATTTTCATCACTTTGAGTCCATTATTTTTCCATAATGATCTTAAAGATATGAACTTTATGCCTTCTTTTATGTGCAAAGTGGGAAAATGGATGGAGGTTACCTTAAATATGCAAAAGACTATAGGTCATTTCATGATTTTTGGCCAACTTCAACAATTCATAACTTGCTCAATTTTTTGAGATTTTGAGTGTTTCAAGTTTAAATATGTCATTCAAGAGATCTACTTCATTCCATATTTTTTGGTCAAGAGCAAATTCCAAGTGGAAGGCCATGTTTGGATGCAAAAGATTATAGGTCATTTTTGAAGAAGAATTTGAAATATTTCTAAGTATGGAAAGTCAACCCTTTTTCTTCATCTTTGACTCAATGAAACTTTCATCTCAAGTAGCCATTTAACTCCATTATTTTTCCATTGCAAATCTTGTAGCCTCATCTTTCAAAAGCATCAAGAATCATGCCCTAAGACCCCTTGAGTTGGAAATGCCATGGATTTGAATTTGGTAACTTGAAACTGAATTTTCCACAAAGTCAGAATTTTGAAATCCATAATGTGACTTATAAACACAAGATTTATGCGCGTTTTTTATTTAAACTTGATTAGCAAACTTGTCAGAAGTGATTACCACCCCAAAACGCAAGATTTGGTTTAGTTTTGATGGAAATGAAGTCACACTTCACTCGTGCTCGACCTTCACTCAATTTCCCTCCAAACTTCCTTGTTTCTTCCAATTTTCATTCCCATTCACTTCCCTATAAATAGAGGGTCATCCCCCATTGGTTTCTTCATGCTTTGAGAGCCAAAAACACCCTGCCAAAACTTCACACAAAACCATCTTTTTTGAATTCAGCTTCTGAGATTTAAGCTCCCTTTTCAAAAATTCTCTGCGCATTCATCATCCTTAAGCATCATATAAACTCTCCAACACTTAAATTGATCAAAACGAGCCATAATTCAAGCTACAAAAGTCCAGTTTCAGAGCTTCTTCCTTGAACTTCGAAAAGGTAGAATTTTCCACCATTTGGATCCAAATCAAGCACTAAACTATTCTACTCATTTTCCTGATTCCAATGTTGCTTACAATTTTTAAATCCATTGAGAATTGAGAGAGAAATCTCAAATTGAAGGTGCTCGCTATTTTCTGGGTTTTTGTTTCATATCTCTCTCCATACCTTATATAAATTTGGGGCGATGGTGGTGTTAGAATC